GAAGATACATCCCGTAAAATTAAGAGACTTTGTTGAATTGTAATTTTGTGATTGTATTTCTGTACATTTAATTAAGTTATTGTTAATTGTTATTGGTTTATTGTAAGTGGCTATTGTTCGTAACGAAAAATACTAAGGAGGGGCAGTGTTGCGTCAGTGAGGTCACGTGACTAGTATCACGCCACTCCTTCTCTCGAACCTTCAGGAATTGTCGGGAGATTACTAGATATAGGGTAGTCTGGTATATATAAGATGGTAACAACGTGACGGGACAACAGTGTAATGAGTAATTGAATGTATGTGGACAAAATATTGTTGGCCACATGAGATATAGCATTTGTTATAGAGCGACTGTTGAGATTAAGTGTATCGGTAAAGTTGTATTCGGAAAGAATAAACCAGCTTTATTTAAGAAAGGACTTGTGTCGCTAAAGTTTCTTCAGAACGAATTTACGGAAAATTAACTAACGAACGGAGACGTAACAGTAGGATCCAGACTGACTATAGTCCAATATCGCCTTGTCCAATATAGCTTGTAATAAAACTGATAACCACACCAAAGTTCAAGAAAAAATAAATAAATAAAAGTTTTGAGTGTGGAGAGAACTGTGTACAAACACGTTTTCATCTGTTTAAGACCACATAATTCATTATAATATATTATACACAAATTTATAATCATTCAATAGTATTTTTAAATAAAATACATAATATTTAGGTAATTAATTGAAATTAAATGGATTAATGGTAACAATGGTTTAGTTAAATGTATAAGTAGCTTGCCTAATAATTACATCTTTAAACATTAACATATATAAGGATTTAAAGGCATAATGAAAACTATTTAACTAATGAACTGATGCTCCTCACCTCCATAGATCCTCCTCTGCCAGGTTGTAAACCTGCAGCAGCCATGTATGTACTGCCAATGGTTTTAATTTTCTCAATTTTCAGAAACTCAGTTTCATAAAGCAACTAATGAAAAGAAAAAATACTCATTGTGTTTTATATTTCTACTATTACAAGCTACAGTTGTTGTTTTTTTAAAAAGAAATTTGGGTTTTCAGCAATCTATACATTTTAAAGAGTTTTACAGAAAAAAGTAGGAGTTAAATAAACTAAAAAAAAAAGTAGATGTTACATCCAAACAGTTTCAATAAAACTTTTTACATCTTATACATATTTCTTTTTTTGCTGTTTTATTAGAGAATGTAACATGGTTTAAGGATAAAGGACATATTTCTAAATAATCACATTCTTTTATATTACTGGGTTGATGTAGCAAAGAAATTTTATCCAAAAGAATCCTATGACTAGATTCAAAATGATAACACGTAAGAGTAGATTTAATAAATTCTTCTCTAAGCATATGACCTTGATGTTATTTGCATCTGACTTACAAAGAATGGGAGGTTTATCAAATACATTTTTTACCAAATTCACATGAGTTACCACATAAAAAATGCTTTTGATTTTCCTGTACTACTTTTAAGTTAGGTATAAAATGCTTATCGAAACATGTAGTGTGTTTTCAACAATAAATGAAATTGTGCTTATAAATCATTGTTTGTTCATTTACTTCTACTTTGTGTTGATAAAATTCTGGAGCAGCAATAATAAACTAATTATCTAAATTACAAGATGAATTATTTTTATTTCCATAATGTATTGTTGCATCAGCGAGGTCACGTGACTAGTATCACGCCTCCTGTTTTCTAGAAATATCCTGTTCCTTCAAGAATGCCCTAGCATTTACTAGATTTGGGGGTAATCTGGTATATATAAGATGGTCAAAACGTGACGGAACAACAGTGTAGTGAGTAATTGAACTGCAGTCAGAGAGTATT